GGTTTGATGTTAGGTCGTAGAATAACATTATAAGTTTATTTATCGATAGTATTAAGTACACTAAAGTTTAGTCCTAACTAAACTAAAGTAAAAAAAAAGCGTACACAGGTTACAGTATTAATTTATCTCTTGATCGAACTTAGACCTAACATAAGTTAAAGTTTTATAAAGTACGGCATATATACAAAGGGATTTACACATTTCGTTGTCTACGATTACAATTCGTTTGTATTGTGCTAGAAATGTTGTATTTAAAGAAGTACTGTTACGATAAAGACACTAATTTGGCCGGAAATGTTTTGCGGGTCTCTACTAGTATGATATTAAACTTGTTCATTAAGTAAAGGTTGACGCTCATTGGCCTGTTTAATTGCCACTTCATCTATATGATAACCTAAGGGGCAGATTTTAACCTGAAACAAAATTGCTTGAAATTCTCGTATATATGTAAAGAAAAACGTTATAAAAATTAGGGCTAACGTCCATTCTGCAGTCGAACTGGCGACTAATCCTCGGAATCCCTGTAAAAAGAAATAAACTTCAGTATTAAATATTCTGTCGATGCATTTCTCAAAAGAATGTATTAAAGTTTTGAAATAAATCAGAAAATTTATAACAGTGTATAATTACAACCAAACATGTTTTTTTCTGGTGTACAAACAGACTTAATTGGTTACGAGGGACACCATAATATCCTTTACACTTTCAAATCTCCATCACTTACGAGGACTTAAATACAAGTTTAGAGAAATAACTATAGAAGATAGTAAGCCTAATAAAAAGAATACACAAAGACTAATGGGGACCTCACAAAGGTCTAATCATTTCTTTTCTATTTATTCATTTATTAATATGAAGAAGCTAAGCCTAATGTTTAAAGCCAATATAGAGCTCAGGATGCGTAGTTCTGACTAAAGATTCTTCAACTGAGACATTTCGCCATTTTGTATGGTTTTGTATATTCACCCATATCTTGTTTCTGTACTTTTTGGCATTGCCATCCTTACATCATCCTTATTTTTCTATATTTTTTATTAATTGTACATACAAGCAAGTGGCATAAGCCGGTTCTGTGAGTTGTGGGATGCAAAAGATAGATCCGAAATGCTGTTACTAAACGCCTATGGTTTTGGATCTGCAATTGACAAATTATGAGGAACGTGAAGAAGAACAAACATCTGCAGTTGACTTGATTCTTTAATACACATGTTAGGCCTATTGTTCTAATTTTTCGCCAGCTTTCCCCGTTTACACCTTAACTTATAAAGCTACTATAGTGAACATCATTGTTGTTTCTAACTGCACTTTTAAAGCGAATTTCGCTGCATCTTCTATACAAAGGATATATCAGACCATAATATAAGTCATACCTTGAACAGTTTCCTGTCAAATTTTAATGGGAGTATACAAATACATACCCTTTCTCCTAATTGTTTTAATCTTCTAGGGTGATTATAATTTCCTGATTTGAATTCTGCATGAGAAACCGGATAAATAATGGCCACTGAAACATCGTTAAGGACAATAAAACCCGATATACCATAGGAAATACTCATGAACCATTTTTTTAAGGATGATCTACTTAAAAAAAAAGATGAAATGTAACATTAGCTTAATGTCCATATCATGACCAGTAAAGGATACTTGTAACAAGGGAAATGAGACAGAGCAGAACAATGGTCAATCTAAACCGGCAGATGGTCAATCCGTTGTAACTAGGATAAAGATAGTAGGTGACCAATGTCTGCAGAGAGGCATAAGTCAATCCCAGGATAAACAAAGTGTATGCCCCAACGTCATGGGCAAGGCTCACTGTTGACATCTGAAAACAGTAGAAGCAGTATTTACAAAGCCTTCTAACTGCAAAATCTTTAAATTTTTTAAAGGAAACTTAGGAACATTATTTTGTAATTAATGTAACATGAAAAATAGCAAACCAAAATATAATGGAATTTTGCTAATGTAAATATATAAATACTTAGGCAAAATAAGTGATGAATAACATGACACAAGTAACATATATATTTTAAATCTGCAGTATAAACTAATATGTGTTATAACTCTCACTTATTTAACAAAGTAGGCCCGGTATGGCCAGGTGGTTACGGCGCTCGACTCGCAATCTGAGGGTCGCGGGTTCGAATCCCCGTCCCACCAAACATGCTCGCCCTTTCAGCTGTGGGGCGTTATAATGTGACGGTCAATCCCACTATTCGTTGGTAAAAGTGTAGCCCAAGAGTTGGCGGTGGGTGGTGATGACTAGCTGCCTTCCCTCTAGTTTTACACTGCTAAATTAGGAACGGCTAGCGCAGATAGTCCTCGTGTAGCTTTGCACGAAATTCAAAACAAACAATTTAACGAAATGTTAATTATGGCAACAAGACAAATACAATATTTCCTGTTATAATTATATATCATCATGTTATGTTAGCTTTTGTAAAATAAACAATACTAGTTCACGTACATAGTATAATTTATAATCTATGATTATGGCTATCCCCTTTTGTGTATAGTTACGTAACACTTGTGAGTGCAACTGTTTTTGTAATTTGTTCCCAAAACTATTACTCAGTTCCAACGACGGATAAAGTATGTTTCGATGTTGAAACCTCTAGAGATTTTCCAGTTTATGCAGACTTCTGTCATGACTTACCGGATAAACTGCAACCACCATCATTCCGCCAATGGCAGTGAATCCACAGAACAGCGAAATCTGATTAATGACTTGGATTTTCTTATGACGTCCTTTATTCAGCTCATTTACGTACATATATCGAACTACCATGGTTATTAAGCCTGAAAAAATACATATACTTATGATCAACATAAATCAAACGTCCAATAAGACTTATCCCATGATAGGCATCCTCAAGGTAATTCGAGTTATATCTTTCTGTTTGGTGAAGAAATGAGACTAGTTTTAAAAAATAATAATAATAGAAAACACTTTCCTGCAGTTGAACCTTCTACGGTCTGAAAACACCTTACTCTCAACCCAAGTCTTAGAAAATTCAAAGCCAAGGCTATCTACTTTATCTGAAGTGATTTTAAAATAAATTTCCTTTTATTAATCTCTGAATATTAAAAGTCTTAAATAACAGATTATTAGTAGAGGAGTTACAGCATTCTTTTGCTAAACAACATGCTCACTCTTAACTCTCGTCTTGTGTGTTAAGTGTTTAAAGTGAGTTTAACTAAGTTTATCAACTAATGAAGAAGAGACTCACCTAGGTTTCCTGAACAGAACAGGCAAATACTGAATATACCGCTCTGTGGAGGATCTGTACCTGCTTCGCTGTAACAAAAAGGAAAACAAAAATGAAGAATAGCCGATATCATCCAGGAAAATTTTGCGTGACTTTCGGTAGGTACAACTAAGCCGATATCACACAGTAGAATCTCGCGTGACTTTTGGTGGGAACGTTTAAAATATAACATAACAGAATTTAAGGACAACAAGGGACCTGTTGGTCCATCTAGGCTAAACTAAACTATAAAGTAAAAATAAACTACTCAAACAAAGATAGCTCTTATTCAAATATTTATCAAATCTTCTCTTAAACTCCATTAAATTTATTGCATCAACCATATCTGAAAGCAACCAATTATAAGGTGCAGCCATCTTGTTAAAAAAAATAAAATTGACAAAGCTGAAGATGACTTCTCCCTGTCTAAATTTATATTTGTGTCCCCTAGTCTTACGATTTTTACCATTTAGTACGAAAAAAGATGCATTAACACTATCAGTTCCCTTAAAAATCTTAAACACCTCAATTTAAAAAATCCTTAACTTTTCTTTTTTCAAGAGAAAACAATTTCAGAGACCTTAACCTGCCATTGTATGATAACTTTTCCATTCCAGGTATTATCCTAATAGCCCTCCTTTGAACTTTTTCCAACAATTAAATGTCCTTTCAGAGGTAAGTAGCCCAAAACTAAACATAATACTCCATATATGGTCTAACAAGCAACATATAAAATGACACTATAACCTCTTCAGACTCGTATTCAGTATTTCTGTAGAAACAATCTAAAATCCTGTTTGGCTTGTCACTAGTAACAACAACCAGCTTGAGTAGCTTAAAATACTAATCAACCAAAACACTAATATATTTTTCTTCCAAAACACGTTTACTTACAATTCAAATTACGATATCCTACATGCATTACCTTGCATGTATTATAATTAAAAATCATCTGCTATTTATTCATACAACTCACCAAATTATCCAAATCCAAAGCAGAATGACCATTCTCAGAACCAAAAACCTAAATATCATAAGCACATTTAAATAATATATTGGCCATTCCTTCATGTGTCATTGATGTAAATGAAAAAGAACAAAGGTACAAACACTGAGCCCTGAAAAGTACTCCACTTGTGACATTAATCCAATTTGACTGAGCTCTATTTATAATCACCTTCTTCTTTCTTCCATCAAACCACTTTTCTATCCAATGAGCCAACGTTTCCTCAACGCCTACCTTTAATGTGTTACCTTGTCAATTTTTTTATGAAACTCCAAATACAACAAATCCACAGTCGTACATTCATCTACATGAGCGGTAACCTCTTTAAAGAATGCCAAAATATCAATAAAGCAAGGTTTTCCTCGTGAAATCATGTTTACTATCCAAGAAAAGGTAAGCTTTTTAAAATAATTTTGAGATTCCAAACCGCTCCACACTGATGTAGCACTAATACGCCTATAATAACTGGGACAAATTTTATCACCCTCCCTTGAAAAGAGGAGTAACATTAGCCCACTCCCAATCTTGTTCTTGCCAACTACTCAATGAATTAAAAAATTGTAGCAAGTGGCTCACGTGTCAAATGCTTAATCTCCTTCGAAACCATTGGGGGAGATATTACCTGGCCGAGTATCTTAACAAGCTCAAATTAATTCTCATCACAGCCAGCAACGCCCAAAACATTATATCTTCAGCAAATTTAAGCTTCGACCATGTCATTGTTGTAAGTGGAAAAGAGCAAAAGTCCTAACTCTGAGCTCGCAATTAAGCTTGTTTCCACCTAACAACTGTTCGGGAATACTGCTCAAATCTTCATTAGTTAAAATCGAAGAAAAAAGTAAAACGTAATAACTTAGCCATCTCATAATCTTCAGATATGAGCATTTCTCTATCACTCTCAAAGGCCATACTCCTTCCTAACAGTTTGCTTACCCTTAATGTATTTAAAGAAATTCTTACTATTAATTTTTAAAATTTCAGCCAGTCTTTTCGTATACTCTTTTTAATATCCTAATTTCCTGTTTGACCAATTCTCTTAATCTTCTATAAGTCTCTCATCATATCAGTCACTTTAAACCTTTTACGTTTATAATACTTTTCTTAAACATTATTCCTTATACCTTTTATAGCTAACCTGTTTTTTTACTTGCAACCATTTTTTCTTTTGTTGCCTGTCTTTAATGTTAGAAAATGTATTTAAAATTTTCCCAAATTTGATCGCTATCTCCAATTAATTCAGTTGCCCAATTCAGAACAAATAATCTTTGTTACATCTTTTCACAATCTGCCTTTTTGAAACTTGTATCCAAAAATATTCCTTATCTCCATATGCAGTAAAACATCTAAAATAGAATTATTTTTAGTAAGTTTCCTTACCAATCGATGGAGAAAGACCTACTGATCGGTTTTTAAACCCTCCCCCATTCTTGGCTTAACATATAACTAATAATATTTAATGAAACTAAGTAAAACATAATGACAAAAAAAAACTGAACTGAGCTCTTAAAATTACCAGTTATTTGCTATTTAGATCCACAGAGTTTACCAATACACGAAACGTTGTTTACATTAACTCATGTCTGGTTGTTTTTGAGTACTATTACTGTTTTATGCTAATCTTACTAGAAAATCTTCCTTGAGATACAACTTCAGATCAACAGTATATACTGAAACTACTAGATTTTGGATATTGAACTTCCGATATAGATTTCTAGACATCTGACCACCTGGTGTATTTGTCTTAAAGTTTCAAGCATAAAACTCACAAACATTTGGAGTAGTAGTCTAAATTCACTAAGAAAGCAATGGATAATAATCTTTATAGGTGTGGATGAGTATTTTTTTTAATGTTAAAAAATTACTTCATACTATGTAATCAAAAAAGTTAATGAACCTAACAAACCTACAAAACAATGCCAAAAAAGTTAACTGGCTATAGCTTATAAATATACCAGTTATTTTATACTCAGATCCACACAGTTTATCAATACACGAAACATTGTTTACACTAACTCACTTCTGGGTGTTTATGAGTATTATTAACTAAGGCATAAATTGCCACAGTTAGGACGTTATGTAGTAGGGGTGATGTGATGAGTTTCTTTTGTAAAGTGCGGTGTTAGAAAGAGAACAACTCCCCCCCCCCAAAAAAATACATTAACGACTATGGTTTAAAAACAGTGTTTGTGGGTACCCTAAATAAGGTACGCTATTTTGTTTATTATTGCTTTCATTAATAATATTGGTTATACTAGTTATTATATCGAACGTAATTACGTTTCTTTTACTTTAATTTGTCGTTCATTATTATACTTTTATTATAAAAATTGATTTGTATTGTTAGTTTACAATTTATATTTAGGACTAAATCTCCTAATCTGGTCGATATAGTATTGAATTTAAGGCCGAAAATATCTGTAACATCGAGGAAACCCAACCATACACTATAATCTTCATATGTAGATACGTAAGAAAAGTATTTTTATATAAACCATACTGATGATCATGTTTATTTTTGGTTTAGCTCTCAGTACATAGCTTGTTCTGATCTATGATCGAAAGTTGTTATAATTTTTCCAATCTATATGCTTGAAATTAAAATCCCCTATAATTATGATCTCATTAACAGCCGAATTCTCAGTTTCATCTGATGGTCTATAACAAATTCCAACTAAACGCCTTCTATCATGATATCCACTAACAGAAGCCCAAATAAATTCAAACTCCTTGCCGTTAACTTTGATATCCTAAACAGAATTTACCTCAAATGTTTCGTATACAAAGACACTTCTCTACCTGTTTTTAGTATTATATCCATATTAAATATCGTATAACCCCGTAGTTAAAAAAATTCTGTTAGCAAAATTGTTTGCATTTCTGTTATTCCCATTATATCAAAATCCTTTGTTCCGACTAGTGCTCTAAAGTCTTCTATTATATTTCTTGTACTTCTAGTATCCAATAATAACAACTTAGTCAATCTTTAAAATTACATCTGTACTTTTTCCTACATAACATTTTTCTCTATATTTGATTTTTTTCTTCACTTAGTTTATTCTGGAGCTCACCATTGTCTGTTCTTAGTTTAAGCTCCTTCCCTATTTAAATTTAAATCATTCATTTCAAAAAGCTCTCTTTTCCCAATGAACTGATCTAATAAGTACAACCAGCAAATATGCTCGTCCTTACATATTATCATAAGCCTACTTATAATTTCATTCTCACAATTAAGTCTCCCTGACAGAATTAAGTTATTATGGTCCTTTTCGTTAAATGGCTTTTGTCAACCTCTTGTACTTATTAATTAACTCCTCTGACCTATAATTCCCTACATTATTAGCCTCAATGTGCACTACAAATACTGCACCACTGCTACCATCCTTTAATATATAACTTGTTCTGTCAGTTATATCCTCACCCCTTCCTTTGAACAGTATAATCTAATTCTTTTCTCTTCACTTATCCTATAGGTCATCCTATCCACATGCTGTACTAAAGACTGGTTATAGGACAACTGCCCCCCCCCCAGACAATTGCCTCGTAGGAAAATTGACGCCGATCAACTGCCCACCGCAGACATATCTTTTTTACATTAATATTCGTCGTGAATCAGATGACTGCTGGAGACCTAACACTACCACAGCGGAAGTGGTATCAAGAATTTACTGCCTGGATAACAAACGTTGTAGAAGATTTTCAAAACCGCAATTTGTTGGACTTTTTGAGAGGAACAGCTCATAACTTACAGTTCCAGTGAACTTACGTTATATATATGCACACCCTTCCAAACTGGGAATTTTGGGAATATTTTATTCCCTTTCGTCCTGCTCGCGAGAGTTTTGTTACAATTTCAGAGATATTAATTATGATTACTGTAGTATTAAGTTTCCAATTCTGGGCTGCAAGAAAGTCTAATAGGCTGAGGCAAGGTTGGCAAAGCGAGGACAGAGGCGATTTTCATGAAGAGACGAGAAGAGTCTTAGTTCCCGGATCTGCTGGTCTGACAGCCAGTACAAATTCCTTGCCCAATTTGCTGCATGGCAAAGTGAAAATGTTGGGGGTTGGTGGACATTGGCTGGGCTATCAGCTGGAACCAGCCACCCTTGTGGTGCCACAAAGCACGGGTAATTTTCTGCCACTGCCCTACACATCCACTTTTCCTGTCTTGAATGATGTCCATATGAAGGTATCAGCCTTGGCTGCAGTAGATGTCCCATGGGCAAATATTGCAGTGACGTGCACCCCATTAGAGAGCATGCATAGCCCTTTCCACATAATGAATTCCAGTGTGGTTGCTTGGCATTCACGTCATGTGGAGGTTGCTACTTGGCATCTCTCAGTTGGGTTTAGTCAACCAAAGTGGAAATATCTGCATCACACTCTTTGCTGCTGGCAGTGCCACTATAGTTGTCACAGAAGTATTTCTCCTTTCCAGCAGCTGACTGGAAACTATAAATTAAAAGTATGTCATGACAGATACAGCTTCTGTGCTGTCACATAAGTTCATTGGGGAGTTCCTCAAAAAACTTAACTTAGTCCAAAAGATCACCTGGGTCAAATCGTCAGTGCAGTTTATATACGAAAGTTTTACAGTCATTCAGTTGCTTTTCATCAAAGTGTTCAACAGTATTGAGGGCTGAACCACCCAAGCTCAGTACCAGGCATTGAACAGCCTGTTCCAGAGTCCACCCATTCCAGGTAATGACCTGCTTGAAATATCACAGGAACAAATCCAAATCATCTTTTACAGATCCCTTGAAGGTTGGAGGTGTGATTTGTTTGGCCTCACTTACAGAGTTCCTGTGTGTCAGACCGAAGACTCTAATTCTTGCATTTATCCTAATGAGTGCCAGAAGGAGGCATTACCAATACTTTTGGCTCCTGATGAAGCTCATTTATGGGTACTTCAACAACCAACAGGCAGTTTGCCTCTTGTCCATGTCAGCCAAGTGACGAGCTGTTTGTGGTGGCTCGTCATACAGCCATACACGACCCCAGTTGTCAGGGGTTGCCATCGCCATGATGGGGAGCTTCTCCATTCCTGTTGTTGCTTTAGTGTAATCACAGTCTCACCTGCTGGGGAGACACCTCTAGCTGGTGGAAATCCTCTTCTAATGGCACATCCAGCCTCTGTCCGCCAGTCACAGGTGGTTTTGACCAGAGTCAGGGCTGTTGCATTCTGATTGTTGACAGTATGTGAGTTTGGCAGAGACCTTCACATGCGGTCTTGAACTCACCAGGTTCCCCACCATTCCAGAGGACCTCAGTCCTCTGCACTTTCCTGTCACTAAGATCAATTTTCAGGAACACTATCTGTTTACATGGTTTGGATGTACCACACATGGACAGATCTCCCTGAGCCAAACGTTGCAAGCTGACTGATTTTAGTGGCCTTCACAACATTATCAAAAATTTTATAGACAGGAAGGGACTTCCCCTAAGCTTCGAAACTCTTTCCTTGCTCAACCATCTCTTTCTGTGAATGGACAACCCCTCTCTTGACAACGGGTACTTACACGTTGAGAGAAAGTCATTCTCTTCATGAAGACATTATCCTTTAAACTTAATGTACACAAGAAGTTGAATTTGGATCCATGCGTGCATTATCTCACTACAGAAAAATCCTACAATAAATCCTAGTTTCATGGCACCAAGTTTTCCCTTTTCAATCCACTTGTGGTTTTCCCAGGTGAAATCAGTTATCCAACTAGTGTCACATAGATGAATCTACAATAATAGCAGAATCTGTCCAAGAATTTCTGATGACTTTTATGACAGGAGATAATTCGACTGGGTTTCCCTTTACTGTCAAAATAATAAGTCTGGACACATTGTAAGTATATGAGAAAAATCTATATTTGACAATAAATAGGACACCAGTGTGCATACTCACTCTGACAAGTGAATAGTCCTCTCCTCCTCTAGATAGCATTTAGTTCTATCGCCTTCTTTCTCTCAAAATTGATTGTAGCAGAACAACATGACGGTCATCTAAAAGGTAGATCCTCTTAGTAGATTGGCCAGAGGAGAGCTGAACTAAAAAGCACACTAAAACTTGGAAGGTAAACTCGCTTCCCTTGTCCAGTGGATAGAATCACCTTTTGATCTCTGTTCCCTGAGAGCAGTGGTCGGTTGTCACTTTCAGTCAAAGTCATAACCAGTCAGCAAAGGATATTCCAGTGCTAACATATTCAACCTGAATGTTTCATCTAATGCTGAAATATTCCCTTGGGCACAGGAGATGTCACCTACTGAAGAGAACAAAAACGAAGTAACATAACAAGGTAAGGTGAACAAGCTTCTGGATCACGTGTTACCGCCACGACAATGCAGAAACTAAGTAATAAAAATAAATAAAGTACTATAGAATGAAGAAAACACATGATATGCACGGATATCACAGAAAGACGGATTAGACAAGTTTTACATTGAATACCGCTAGCCTAAATTGAAGAAGTGCGATATCTTTTAGAGAAACAATACGAAACAAAAGTGAGTCAACAGCATTTGTAGCAGGGTAACACTTGTCACTTGTCATGCAGCTGCAAATTACTAAGAGTCATTATTTATAATAATATAATATTAATATTTACAATTAATTTGAGAGGGTTAGTCACTGTTAATATTTGGCTTTGAACTGTTAACTTGTTTAGTTGACATGGAATTGCTGGCTTTTCTATTTTATGTGTAAGGCTGATTCGTTAGTGTATATGGCGCATAAGGGCGTGATCTGCATTTAACAGTCAACAAAGGCTTCATTGTCACGATATAAAATGATCAAAGAATAAAAAAATAAATGTTGCTTGAGCTCACTGGCAAACGTTAGCCTAATAGCGCTATACACAAGCTTATTTTAAATGCAAATAAGCAGTTCTCCTAATATTCCTAAAGTTTTCTCTAATTATAATGGTCTTTTCGTGACTCAATGAATGGAAATTAATAACAAAATTAACCGCAATGTGGACTAATGTAGAATAGTATATGCCGATACCTGGGAACATTTAGACTTAACTAATCCTGAGAACCTCGAAAAATGAAAATCCCCCCCCCTCCCCCACACATTTTGTAGTATTTTCCTTGTTACCGTTTCAGCATTTTTACATTTCGTTTCTAACGTCTGTTGGATTCATTAATTAGTGTTCTGTAAGTGAATGAACGAGCTGTTTCAGAGCCGTTTTTCAACTCAAAACCTAATTGGATATAGCGAATGTTATTGATTTATATCATAGAGTGATTGTATGTAGCTAATGTGATTCAACCCGCAATATCAACTGAACTATTCGTTTTACAGTTTAAAAAAGTACAACAAATATCAAATGCTCAACCAGTTGTCCACCAGAATTTAGGCCTAAGTCACTGAAGTCCGGTAACTTTAATATATTCATGGAGGTTCCAGGTTAAATCCTGAGAATTCTCATGTATGCATGTGACGTAAAACCAAAATAAGCAGTAAGTTTACGGACTTACAACGCTACAATCTGAGGTTCGATACCTCGAGATGGATAGAACGCAGATAACTCATTGTGTAGTTTTTTTGCTAATGAAATTCACATTAAAAGTAAAATAATTTAAAATCAGAGCTCAGTGATAGCAATTAACAATATATATATAAAGTTAAATTAATTACTGCAGTGCAGCGTTAAAGACTAATTAGTAAAGTTAATATTAAGATAAATTTTGATCACAATACCATGTCATTAGGGTGCTGTTAGCGTTACGATAACACATAGTGTCCAAGGCAGTGAATTATCGTGTCAGTTGGACTACTAAGTTGATCGTAGTGGTTTCGCTCATATTAGTTGTATGATATTAATTTGTTTCTAAAATTTTGGAACTAAAAGTTACTCTTTCAAAATAGTCAAACATTTGAATAATAAAAAACTTCAGATTAATGATAATTATATTTAACATTGATTCAGTTTTTCTTTCTTAAACTTACCAAATCAAAGACATATTCTTACCTAATGAAAGGCATATAAGGAGTTACGTCCCCGCGTAGGACAGCAATAATGTAAGCTACAACTACACCAAATGCTAGAAATATTCCAGTGAGAGCAGGCACCCACCCTAACCCTAACCACGTGGTTAATGACATGGCTCTTCGAATGAAAAGTTTCTCATTTCACACATTTAAACTAAATAATGCTTAAAACTGCTTCTAAGTTGCTTTTTTAGACTTTTACAAACGTCTAACCTGTAAATATAATGGTTTTTATGATGACGTAGAAGAAACTTTCACCATAATGTCGACACACACTCACTAACACGACTTAAACACATTCACTCACTACGGTGGCCTTCTAAAATTATAAGTAAAAAAACTGAGGATGAAAGGTCAATTTTTCCGGAGCAACTTGACTACGAGTGTTGTTCTACAACTGCCTGAAAACGTCCCTGCTAACGAGATTAGTCTAAAGATAGGACTGAGTTTCTAAAGTAGATTCTTATTAACTTCCTGAAACATTTTTTTTATACCCAATTAAATACACGAGTTATGATTCTATAATTTTTGAAAAATATATAATTTATATTAATTCGCTGATGACATTTTGTGACGTATTTTTCGTTTAGGTAATCAAACACAAATATTTCAGGATTTTTTTACGGTATCCTCTAAATTGGAGCACGACATTAATATAATACCATAAAAAATACACTTAAAGCATTAATTTTGGTTATAGTATTATACTCCCCGAAATATGGCAAGCAATGAAACCTTTAGGCCTAATACTTTTAGTCTATCGTAATTTTTATGACGAAATGCGAGCTATAATTTTCGATTGTTTTGTTTTCAGAAAGGCGAAAGTACATCAACCAGATAAGATATTTTTTTCGTAATAGAATGCCAAAATATAAATATTAGCTGACACTTCATACAATTGCTTTTATTTCTATAAGTATGTAACCGACGAACATAATTCCATCTCTTGTAACAAACTGTTATGTCATGAGTTCCCTTCCGAGAAAACATTCTTCAATATGCCAAATAAATACATTTGTTCCACATATTTCAACCTCACCCCCCAGTGGCACAGCGGTATGTCTGCGGTCTTACAACCCTAGAAACCGGGTTTTGATACTCGTGGTGGGCAGAGCACAGATAGCCCTTGTGTAGCTTTGTGCATAATTAAAAAACAAACAAACTATTTCAACCTCAAACTGGGATTCACAAGTCATGTCCGAAATTTCATAAAAGGATTTATAAAATATCAAAATATTTTTCTTAGAATTAATTATATATGAATTAAAACATTTAATTTTGGAACACAGCTTTCATGTACACGGAATCATCTTCTCTAAACAAAAAAACATCGATAGGTTTTGGGGGCCGTGAATCAATTTTAAGTTAAAATGAATTTGTTTGTTATTAAGCCCAAAGCTACACAAAGGGATATCCGTGCTCTGCCCACCACAGGTATCGAAACCCGGTTTTTAGCAGTATAAGTCCGCAGACATACCACTGTGCCACATTAAAAGGGGTCCTCGGGTTAATATAGTTTGAGAACCGCTGGTTTATAGCGTACAAAATAAACGTTTAGGGTTCATCTGATTGTTAAATTGATAGCATTTTAGCAGTTTATTTCTTGCTCGTCAATCAACAACTTTTTTCCAACTTTCTAAGAAGCATAACTTTATATAAGTATATTAGTACATTATTGGAATTTGGACGATAAATCCCAACCAATTTCTATTCCTCTAATAGGGCGCTCGACTCGCAATCTGAGAGTCGCGGGTTCGAATCCCCGTCCCACCAAACATGCTCGCCCTTTCAGCCGTGGGGGCGTTATAATGTGACGGTCAATTCCACTATTATTTGTTGGTAAATGAGTAGCCCAAGAGTTGGCGGTGGGTGGTGATGACTAGCTGCCTTCCCTGTAGTCTTACACTGCTAAATTAGGGACGACTAGCGCAGATAGCCCTCATGTAGCTTTGCGCGAAAATCAAAAACAAAACAATCCTCTAATAGTAATATTAATTGACTTTAACATCATAGTTCAATTATGCTATTCATATCGGTATGTTACTGTTATGAGGATCGACAAGTCAACTTTAGAAGGTACATTTTACGTATCAACTTCTGCGATCTATGCATAGTAACTTGTTTTATTTTCCTTCTTTTGCCCTTCCGTTTCGTTAGGAGAATCTACCGTCCTACAATTGGCTGTAGACAGTGAATGGTAGTTTTGGACGAGAGACGATGTGGACTAAGTTTTTCAGACCTAATTTCATTTCTCGTGTTAAGGTTTAGAATAATGTTTGCATGTGTAATACGGTTTATCTCCACCTCTATGTGGACCCTACTCCTTCAGGTATCCCCCAATTATAATATTGTTATGTCTCCGTTTGTTAATTAACTTTCCGTAACTTCGTTTCCGACGAAACTTTAGCGACACAAGTATTTACTTAATAAAACTGGTTTATTCTTTCCGAATATAACTTTACGATACACTTAATTTCAATCTTCGCGCTAAAACAAACACTATAACGAACGAACGTTAACTTCAACAATACCCTGTGACTGCAGTTCAATTACTCACTACCTACACACACATAACATTCTTCCGTCACGTTGTCACCCTCTTTTATATACCAGACTACCCTATATCTAGTAAATACTAGAGCATTCGCCAAGGTACAGGATAATTCTAGAAACGTGGCGTCACAGTAGTCATGTGACTCGCTGACGCAACACTCCCCCCTCCTTAATATTGTTCGTCCCGAACAATAACCACATATAATAAACCAATAACAATAACTTAATTAAAATGTACAGAATTACAAACACAAAATTACAATTCAACAAAGTCTCTTAATTTTACGGGACGTATCTTCTTCCGTACTGGTCTCCGTCTTATTGGCTTCTGCTTCATGTGGGGATTCATCTGCTTCATCAGTAATGTCCGTCGAAGAAGAAACTCTACTCAGTTTGGAGAAGGGAAACGGTGAAGCTCTTGGTGATGTTACTAACACTGATGTGACTGTTACCGATGATAACGGTCCAGGACATTTCAGTTGGGACAAAGTGGAAAACAGAACAAATGACGCTGCTGAAGACGTGCCACCTGAAGAAGCCACCCAGGCTTTGGCGTTATCTGATAAGAGATCTACTGAAGTCAGCTTTGTACCAGGAGATAAGGTATGGTTGTATAATCCCAGGAAGACCAAAGGGAAGTCTCCTAAGTTGTCTTCTCCATGGGAAGGCCCATATGACATAGTGGATCGTCTCTCAGACGTGACTTTCCGGATAAAATGTGGTCGGCGAGGTAAGCCAAAAGTGGTGCATGCCAACAAGTCAACTTCATCGAATCAGCAGACGTTTTCAAGTTTGTACGCACTTGATGGTGAATATCATCCATCCTTTCCGATAACACTTTCACAAACTCTGACATATTCACAGGCAACTGTTCATTAGGTGGGCATCCTTTATGCTTGGGTCCCCTCTTTGCACTACATGTACTGCATATCCGGCACCATTCGTCCACATCTCGCCTCATACCTATTCAATAAAATCTTTGTCATAGATGACTCAATGTCTTCCTAATCCCGAGATGTCCTCCTGTTAAATTATCATGGGATCGACGCAGCACAACTTCCCGTAACTTCCTCGGTAAAACTGTTTGCCAAGTCGTCACTTTCCTATCTGTAGTTTCCCATCTTCGGACAAGAATACCATTTTCAAGCTTCAACTGCTCCCATTGCGCCCAATAGTGCTTTGTCACGGGGCTTAGACTAGACACCTTCTCCCAAGCAGGGCACAAAGCACTAGGAAATCAATTATAGGCTTCAAATCTTGGTCCTTCTCCTGTTCTGCTTTGA